AAAGGCAGGATATAAATTGAATAATAAATGAAAATAAATAAAAAGAATATGAGAACTCACAAAAAAGGGGAGGGGTGAACGAGGAACTAGTTGTGTGTTTGTTCATAAGCATGCTAGAGGAGTAGCCTGCGGTTTTTCAGAACCTGGTGTCACAGCCACTCGGTCTGGCCAGCTGGAGACACAGGAAATGTGCCAGTCCAGCACATCTGTCCAGTGAGCTTACTGTGGTGGGGACAGGAAGAGACAAAAACAAGCAGCAGAGCTGGACGACTATAGCTGCCCTGGCCAAGATTGTCTCTGCACCAGCCTCTTCCAAGAAAAAAAGCCAACCAGGTACATCAGTGGCTTCTCCCACATGTAGGGCACTTGGTGGAGAGGGCATTGGGATGGCATGTTGGAGACAGAAGCACTGATGCCCTGGGCACAACCTGTTTTTCTTTTCTTTTCCGGGCTCAGTGCTGAGAAGTGTTGAGCCGGGCAAGTGCCACCAGCATCTTTCCACCTAAATTCTACTGGGCTGCACCCCTAAAAGTGAGCTGGGCTCCAGGTATATGCTCCAGGTATATGCACCCCAGAGCTGGGCTCCAGGTGTATGCCCGCCCCAGCATATATTGTCTCAATGTCAGATCTTTACAATTTGTAAAAGTAAAATGGTGATGCATCAGTCTGGTGGGTTCATGAAGGGCTGGTCGGGACCCTATAGCATGAAGCAGAAGGACTCACATAAAATCTTAGACTGTGCCATATGCAAGAAGTTGGTATGTTTTTGCTGAGTGATATTTTCACTAAAAAGAGACTTTGATGAGTAACTGTACATACTCTGGTTAACACCTGGTAACTCACAAGAGAAAGAGCTTGTCTGCATGAGGTTGTTATTCTGCTGAACCTACTTTTAGTTTTGTTACAGAATTGCGATCTGAGCTCTGCACAAAGACCCCTGCTATTCTTGCTTTTTGGTTGCCTTTGTCTAGGCAGTACTGTGCTACAGTACAATATGGCAGTTACGGAAGTAGGAAAATACCCTTCTTTCAGTTTCAAAATTAATTCCTCATTTTACCTGCTCAGAATAATTAAAATGCTCTTAAAATGTAAGAAACTGGAGGGTTACATCTAAAGAGCCTATGAACAATCTCAAAAGATAAGTGCATAAATATTATTACATTTTATATATCACCCATCAAGTTTCCTCTTGCAAGGAACCCAAGGTGGCTCACATAGTTCTCTTCATTTATCCGCACAACAACAACCCTGTGTGGCAGGTTAGACTGAGAGTCCATAACTGGCCCAGTCAACCAGGGAGCTTCACGAGTGAGAGCTAGAACTCAGATCTTCCAGGTTCCTGGTCCAACCACCTCATCCTGGCTTGTCATGCTACCATACCAAATGCCTCACGTACAAAAGCACAGATTCTAACCCGTCATGGGACCTGCATCACCAACCAAAATGTGTCCACCTGCGCTCCATGGAGGACACAACAGAGAGAGTCAGTTGAAAAACAGCGAGAGAAATGAGTAGGGCTGAAAGCAAGATGATAAAACCTCCCTTTCCTCATCACCTGAAATGGATGCTTACAGGTGCTGGCAAAGGAAGGATAAGGTATCTCTTAGATGGGAAATCTTGCTATGCAATAGCACCTGGGGGCAAGAGTGGAGAAAGAGTAGGTTTCTTAGGATCCTAGTCCATGGTTCTTTCTTGAAAATTGGCCCTCAAGTGAAATTACTTGCTCACACAAAAGCAAAGTGGTGACATTCCTTATCCACTCTGACTGTCTAACCATGTGCAAATATAATGTTCTTCTTCTGTTCTATTTATCTTTCAAACTTTGTTTCACTTTAACTCCTCTCTGAAAAGTGATGTTTTCTCCTCCTCATCATCATGTTAGCTGTCCAGAGAACCTTCAGGTTATCGGGCGGCATAGAAATAGAATTAAATAAATAACGTGTCCTAGCAATCTGGTGGCCCTTAACCTGCCCAACTGAATAGACAGATCTTGTTGTACCTTTTAGTCTAATCCACAAATTGTAATCAAAAGATTTTGTGTTAAAATAATTGCAACATTAACACCAAATATGCTGTTTCATGTGTGTGTCTTGAAATTTGATATTCTGATGGTGTCCAGAATAGAACCCTATTTTGACATGTCAAAGTTCTTGTTGGTGCAGCTGCAGCAATGTTCAAGTTCAAACTTCAAAAGACTTCGGAGCATTTTAACTGTGTTTTGGTAGCAATGTGATCTTTTTCAGTCAACGTGGAAGTTCTGTTAATATCCTATCCATTCTCAATTTCAGATCTGTGATGAATATAGATGACAGTGCCTCATAATAAATCTCCCGCTGCAACATCTGCATAACAGTGTAAGCAGTGGAAAATCTAAGCATTAAGGATGGTGTCTGCAGCAGAAAGTCTACACTGGCGGATCTCATGCACAAATACAGGGATGGACAGAAAAAGCAAACTAACCACTAAGAACATCTTTCTGCATCAGATGTGCAGCACCTCAGGCCTAGGGGCCAATTTCAACCCATCACGGGCTCCAATCTGGCCCTCAAAAGTTCCACAGTAAGCCACACCCCTTTCCCTGATCCAACCCCTAGTCTTTCCCCCTTTCCTCCCACCACCAATCATCCAGTAGTTTCCTTGTTTGTGTGCTGTTTCTTTCCCCATTCTGAAAGTTTTAATGCCTTTCTTAAGGCCTCATTACTGGTAACAAGAGATTTACACTGTAGTATGTTGATATTTTGAGCTTCCTCCCTTTTGCCTTTGGCCCTACCCAACCCTGGAATGTGCCTCTCCAACCCAATCTCTTCTCCAAAATGGGATTCAGCTGTCAGGCTGGGAAAGATTCCTAGTCCTTGCTCCACATGTTCTTGTAGTCTTGAGAACTGTACTTTAGTAAGCAATCATTCTCATTCTAGGATGTTCCGTGGGCAAACCCTTAGAAAAGTAGAAATTTATGGTATGCATCTTTTTTAATTTAAAAAAGGAAAAGAAATTGAATGACTTCCATTGATTTAGCGCATTTTAGTTTTAGATGTAAAAAGGAATTCAAATCAGTGATTTTTCAGTGACAAGATGTTCATTTCTCATTTCTTCTCAGATGCAGCCTCCTGATATAACAGCCAGAAGAGGTCATAGGAAAGCTAAAGGGAGGGCAAAGGGAGAGCAAGATCAGTCGGACTCTATTCAAGCACCCTTAAACCTATTGTCCCATCTATCACAGTCTTAAATTAGGCAGATCTGATCCTTTAGGCAGGTATCAGAAAATTTCATCCCGGCACAATGAGAAATCACAAAGTGATGAACATCAAAAGCACAGGTGGGTCTCCCAGTGAAACCAGTAGTAAACCAAAACAAATGAATGAACTAACCTAAATCTGTGATAAAACAAATACAGTTAACTCTGACCAGCGAATACCAAAACAAATTATACTTTTAATAGGACCAATGCAGTAATTAAATGTCATTTCTTTTCTTGCATCCCCTTTCATGGCTCCAGCAGGACCAGAAAACAATAATAGCAGTCTATCAGTCTTCAAACCACCATGTAATAGGTAAACAAGACATTCAAAGTCTTTTCTAAAAGCACTATGAAATTGCTTTGTGACTTCAGTTCATGCTTAGGAGAGGTGCTGCTGTTAAAAGGCACACTTCTGTTTGCTTTGTGTACTTGCCTCCTTGCAACAGGTCTGAAGCACAGTTATGCTCACAACAGGCCTCTGTTACCAAGTTACAGAAAACAAAACATTGTTCTTGCCAACACTGTTAGCAAGCTGACTATAATTTATTGTGGAAAAGAAAAGGAGGAATAAAACTTAAGGGATGGCCTTGCTTTGTGGAGAAATTAAAGGTGTATCATCAGCGCTGTAAAATAATACATTCTTACCACCTGGTTGCATAATACAGAGGTGGGGTAGGGTGTCAAGCAGTTCTACCTTACAGAGCCTTCTATTTGAAGGATCCCACTCCAGGTCTGGCTTACAGTTGAAAAACCATAAAGAAAAGCCAGCAAAAGCCTTGAAGTTGCCCATCAAAAGAGTTGCATCTGGACAGCAGGTTAAATAGGTACACAGGTCACCTGGCCAGTTCACCCTCAGATTATGCTTATTATTTTTAAAATTGCATTTATACATTGTTTGCCTATGAAAATATTATGCAAATCAGTGTCCTTTCTTCTGTTTTGGTTATATACTCCCCCTCCCCCCCCCCTTTTTTTTTTTTTTTTTTTTTTTTTTCCCTTTTTTACCCCCTTTTCTTTTTTTTTTTTATTTTTTTTTTTTGGCAACACCTAAGTGACCACCTTAACTTTATGATTGCAAAATCTACTTTCTTTCTCCCTGGAACCCCAAGGTCTACCAACTGGGTGACTTAGAAACACTGAACAACAGAACAAGGCACACATGCTTAGTCCAGGAGTTTGGTTTCAGAGTACTAGCAGCAGAGGTGATGCATAGATTGCTTCACACACAAATCTGTCTACTTTCTATGAAAGGAAATACTCCCATGATCCATTTTGTTCATTACAGGGCCAAACAGTTGTGCAGGAAAGCTGCAGTCTAGACAAACTTGTAATGGATGTGGAGCAGTACTAAGTAGTTCAAGTTCTCTCTGTCATTCCTTCACCCCTTCTTTCTGTGACATGATCCATATCAATGACTGTTAAAGTAGCTGGGGTGAAATGTAAGGGAATTTTATTTTGATCCACCACAATTCCCAGTGATCAACTTTGGAAAAATTGTATGTCCATCTCTAAAGACTAGTTTTGCACACACCTTTTTTTCCTCTCTCCAAACAATGTGATTGACCAATCAGTTTCCCAGGAGCTCTGTGAATTCACTTTTGTTGATATGTTGCTAGGCAACATGGTAAAGACAAAAGAGGAACGTCATTTCTGTAGCAACAGAAGATGCTAACCTACTAAATTAAGAAAGAAAGGAGATACTAAGACCTAGTGCTTTGCTTCTGCTAATTCCTCAGTGTGCATGGAGGAATCATTATGAGGGGGTTTAAGTACTGACATTTCAAGGTAAGACAAAGCAGCAGCAAAGACAGAGTGAAGAAATGCAGCTGTTACTAGGCTATAAGCTCAGTTAAAGACATCCTTAGTTTGATGGGATTGAGCTATAGATCAAAATTAACCTTTTAATAGAAAAAGCATATTCATAGTATACATCTAGTGTTTGCTCCATTACATAATTCATCTTGCATTGAGACGGCTTGTACTTTATACATACTTAGCTCATGAAGCGTTTTTAATGTGCACTTGCCTGCTTTCCAAAGCAAAACACTAATACTAATAATATAGTTGCTATACTACTGCAGAGGGAGAGCTGGTGACTTTTAGTACCACACGTAACAGGTAAGAAATAGTGTACGTGTATATAGGGGGGAGGTGTTTTAATGCAACTCGCTTTATCATAAGTTAATGCAGAAAATGTAGAGCTTCATTTTTTAACACAAAGTTGTCTAAAAAAGATAAAATCCTGCCTCTTCATCTGGTAGGAAAAAATATTTTTACTGAAGAAGTAAATATGTCACTATATTCACACTGTCCATAATTGGCCAAAAAAATTGAGATGACACCTCTCAGAAAATGAATTCTGATTATTCTGGCTACTGCCTTTAACTATAATATGCTGATAAAAAGAAATTACATATAGCTGTTTTCAAAAGTCTGAATTCATGAATTTAGACATCACATGCTGCAGTTTGTTTCACTTGGTTCTGGCACATATGTAGGTATGTTGGTTCTGAAACGAGTATTAAGACTGCTGTTTAATTTATTCTTTACAGTTAGCAAGTGGATCTTTTTTACTTCTGTGGATATTTAACAACATTGTTTGTATTTGTATTGAGAAGAGGAACAATTTGGCTTCTTACCAGATGATTTTTTTTATATAATACTAATTATCTGCATATATATAATCTTGGTTAAGTTTCTTCGTGAACTCATGTTGGGTGGAGCCATTTCATATTACTGCCCTATATATTCCCCATATAAGTTCTTCGACTTTAATGAAGAGGTGGTATCTGAATTGCTTTAATACAGGAAACAAGGAAGTGTAAGCAAATAAATGAAAACCAGCCCTTGCAGAGATTATAATTAGGAGGCAGCAAAGTGCATAGAAGGACATAGCCAATTGTGAAATCATCAAGGCTTGGTGGGGACAAACGCAGGCTTGATCCAATAGATCGGATCTTTGGCATCTACCCCTGGCTAGAACATCAGCCAAAAAGCAATGTTCTTATAGTGGATCCAGCCCACTTCAGATTCTTAGTTATTATTTATAGCAGGTGCAGGGAATATGTGGTCTTCCAGATGTTGTTGAAGAGCAAATGCCATCATCCTTCCCTGTTGGCAGTGTGGGCTATGCATGATGAGGGCCGATTTATATTGTATGGTCTGTGCACAGTGCATTTGGCAAAGAACAGGTATGACAGCTCCCTACTCCAAGAGGCTTCCAAGCTAAAGCATCGACACAGGAAGGCAACGTGGAAAGGGGAAAATGAAGGTCTGGGTTAACAGAAGAAAAAATAATTGTTGCTAAGCCAGAGTGTTCGAATCACAATAACATGGCATGGTAGAGGCAGGACAATGGCAATCCAAAGGTGAGTTAAAAAGAAAATAAGGAATGTGGCTGCATGGAGAAGTTCTGAGAAACAGTTCCAGGCTCAAGGGGAAATGGGCAGAGTTGTTTCAGGAAGGAAGAAAGCCTTGGATCACTGAGGGTGATGGAACTAGATATGTGAAGACCACAGAAAGGGTGTGTTCAGATATAAATGTGGAAAGATGAGGAGGAACAAAGAAATGGAGGGCTATAAAAGGGATGATGGGAAGCTTGTGCAGGGTCCAGGAGTGGACAGGAAACCACTGCAGGGATTTCACTGGGAGGGTGTAGTGTCACACAGTCCAAGTAACAAGACAGGTGAAGAATTTTAGCAGAGGATTATTGGACAGATGTCCGTAGCTGAAGGTGAAGCTATGGAAACAAGAGAAAATAGGAATGCGGTATTCAGAAGAAAACTAGGCAAGGTAACGGACAAGAAGTGCTTGCTCCTGAAGTTCAGCTTTACCCTCAGTATCCACTTCAACCCATCAGACCATTACTGCTCAGTCTAAGGCCAACAGTATGCAATCCATTGACTCTGTAACATACAGAGAGAGATCACTGAACTGTACTTTCACATTAACTTAAATCTCCAACACACTAGTAAACTAAACCGCTGTTATATTTGTCTTGACATGCACCTGGCTCATTCCCCTTCACCTCATTCACCACTACTGATGCTGCTGCCATCATGCACATTTGCAAAATAGTCTGTCCTGCTGCCAAGTCTCTCAGGTACCTGGCAGTGGAGGGCAGAGATTTGAACTGGAAGAGGCTGCAGAAGTGGTGCCTAGATGGTGAGCAAACGTGGAGGTTGGTGTTTCAGCCATTGTTTATCTGCTGCTGGTAGATACTGTCCGAATGGCTGTATACAACCTCTAATATAAGAGGCAGCATGTCCGGGTACCTGTGGCTGGGGGACAGGAACAAGAAGCACATGAACTGTGCTCATGTCCTCTCTGTTGGCTTCACACATGCTTCTAACCAGTCAGTGTAAAACAGAAAGTTAAACTAGATAGTCCCTTTGGTCTGATCCAACAAAGCTCTTCTTAAGATTTTTGATAGTGATATAAAAGAAAATTTTAAAATGCATTCTCAGTGCAGTGCTTTCTGTATTATATGGCTCTTCAGGCTAGCAGAGACTATCTGGACATTATAGAAAAGGGCAGAGTGTTGAAGAACAGAAGTCTTACCTTTCTGCAAATGCTTGTGATGAACAGCCAAAGTTCAGTCCCATTGTTGGCATGCTTGAGCAAACACTTGTGTTGGTCCATCATATTGAGGCCTCCATTTTAAATTTCCCACAATGACCTAGAACAATGCTACATGTCAGGGCATTCTGCCAATTGAAAAGGATGGCTTCCCAGCCACCCAACCATAATAAGCTTAGAGCTGAGAGAGGGACCATCCATGTAGGTGAGGTCAAGAGAGTCTCCTGAACTGTGGCACCAGCCCAGTGGGACTCTTGGATCACAGCTGTAGATGGTGTCAAAATGACACAGAACTCAGGGGATCCATGATGGAATCTCCCAGTGTTCGGTGCGTATTTTCAACTTGCAAACAGGCACAGGCGGGCTCCTAATTTGACCAGGGGCATGAAATATTTAATCCTTGCCTGCTACACTGGACCAGTTCTCTAATTTGAATTATGCACCATAAACCTATCTTGTTCATGCTTTAGATGGCATTTTTATTTTTATTAACAGCATACATAAAATAATGCAGCATATATAAAATAATTCAATAAAATATGATTTTGTTTTTGACAAAAAGAAACCCAGGAACTTCCAGTCTTCCTTCAGCAACATTTGGGGAATGTATAAAATCATCCTAGGACTATTGGTAACGCCTCAGGGTCACTCAAGGTGTCAGCTACACCGTTTGGTCTGAAAGGTCTGAAGGTTATATCTGAAATTATCCTGCACTGGCCCAAAAGGATTTTCTTGAGTGAGAACTTATTACCAGTATGTGTTTGTTTGTTGAAATTTGTGGTGTCGTTCCAATGAATCTGTAGGTAAGCAGCAAGAAACAGTTTCCAGAGACAGAAAGACGACGATACAAATTCTACATATTTTCTGCTTGGAAATATTATGTTAGTAACAGTTGAAGGAGCTGGAGAATTTGTTTTTGTTTTTGCAAAGTAATATTTTATTAAACTCCTAAAATCACTTGGTTGTTCTTCTAGTCTATAACATCACTTCCTGGAGCAAAATGTTGCTTTTCAAGGGTTTCCTACACAAAATTATCAATGAACAGAAATAACAAAGGATTTCAGCACTCTGTGGCCTGTCTCATTCCCTCATCAGCACAACAATGTTCCAGTCAACAAATTTATCTTGAAAGAAGCCAGGATTAGAAGATGACTTTTTCCTGGAGTGTTTACACAGGGGAATCCAGAGAGATGTGAAACAGAGTACATGTACTGGAAGAAAAGTCTGAGAAATTGTGTGCACAAGTGTATGTGCACCAGCTTTATTTCTAAGTAGGGCCATGAAGCAAGAAATTTAACAGCTTCTCTAATGAGCTGTTGTCCTTTAAGGTCAATATGTGTGATATTATTGTTTTATTTAACCTACCAAAAAAAAGAGCATTTGACCCATCCTTTAGGATTAATGCCTAAAGAAAGGCCACATGAGATGATTAGCAATAATCATATTGTTACAGGCTTTGAAAAGAGAAACTGAAGTTTAGTCCAAAGTAGATTTCCCTTTTTTCCCAAAGGGAAATAAAATGCAAATAATCTAAATTTGAACTAGTTATACTTTGTGAGATATTAGACATAAAGCAGCCCTTTCAGGCAGAATCCAAATTAGCTCTTGTATTACTATAAATAGTCTTATTTGGATCCAAAGAGTCCATTACATCTAAATGTATTTTCATTACAAGCATATGGTTTGTGAATTAAGACCATCACTGAGGATTGCTGATGGATCAAGTATTGCCTGAAAGAAGAATGATGACCCATATTTGGCTACTGCTCCCTTGTATCCAAACATTCAGGAACTGGGTCAGGAAACCCCAACACTTTTCCTTGCTTTTTATAGACAAAGGTTAATTTACTTTCGAAAACATTATGCATTTTATAGCTGATGAAGAACACAATGGAGGGGTTCAAATTTATGAATATGAACTTAACAGGCCATTTCCAACTTGGCGGAAAGGAAAAGAGACCAAGTGGTATAATCCCCCAAATACAGCATAAATCTGTTATGAAACATTTCCAGCAGAGATCTTGGAAGTCCAACAATAGACTATATTGTTTAAAAGGTCATTTATGGTTTCTCTTCTTGATGGATTCACATTTTCAGCAAAAGAGCTTGACTCACTCAACAGTCTTTATTCCAGAGTCTGCTTGACTGCTTGAAATTACTGTAAAGGGTAACAGCTTGATTGCTCTTGCCATACATCTATCAATGGAAAATGGAGCGATGGATAAAGTGTTAGCAGGTTGAAGCAGAGGTTTCTCCTCTCCCATGTTAATCCATGTAATTTCTTCTTTCTCCATGACCGAAAGGTGGCACTTCCTTATAATTATCTCATAACCCCTTAAAAGGCCTCTACTACATTGTAATTTATATTATTTCTTACCAAACTACTTTATCCATTTGTATTATTTCTTCTACTTCATCACTGATGTGACTACAGCAGTCTTTCACAATGCCAGGCCATAGTCTGTCATGATGCACAAATACAATAAGCATTTTATTTGGTTCTCAGTGGTGCTTCAACTGTCTTCTAGAATCTGCTTAAATCTACTTAAGCTAGATTTAACAACTAGAATCTACTTAAGCCAACTATTCTGGTGTCTATGACCAAACATGCATTGGTGGTAATGTTGGAGACAGCATCTAAGGAACCAACAATCCATGTTTCCCAGAAGAAGATGGGGTAAACAGATGTGATGCAAATAATTAAAATTTGGCAACAGTCAGTCATTGGTTTATAACAAAAAGCCTGGGAAATCAATGGTCCATGACCAAATGTGCATATGAAAAGGCTTTTGGTGCTTTTAGAGGCGTTTGTGATGGCTGGTTTGAAGCATGTTCATAATTACACATAAGACATTAAACTTGAAAGAAAAAAGATTTTAAATGAAAGAGTCCTACTAAAAAGAAAGAAAGTCTAGTTGTCCATATAGAACATCACACTAAAATGGACAGAAGTTTTGCATTTGTGCTCATTAGTTTGTGGATTTCCTGTCAAATATTGGATAGTTGAACCTTTTGTGAAAAACCTGGCAGTTGAAGCAGGGCATTTCTTGGAGACAAGAAATAATCTCTGATCTTGTATAGGATTAGAGATGATCTCATAACATTTTATAGTGGCTTTCCCAAATTCATGCTGCTCAGTTGTTTGGAACTTCAGTTCCCATCAGCCCCAGCCAGCAAGGTCCATGGTTAGCAATGCTGGGAGTTGTAGTCTAAAAGTACAGGAGGGCACCAGGTTGTGGAAATGTTGCATTAGAACAAAGGGTTTTTTACAACACTGTATTTGACACAGCAACTTTCAGAGTTACAAGAAAAAGTTAATAGTTCTTTAAGACCATCTTCAAGACGTTCACAAACTGGTAACATTGCAATTTAAAATCTCTGTTCTGGTACCCAAAAGGAGAATAGGATATGGCAGATAGCCTCTTGCTATCAAGAAAGCTCTTGACAGCAAGAGGCTAGCACTACATGGTGATTTATGACTACTATGGACTTCTTACTTAACCCTAGGGCCTTGTCTTCCTTCTTGGTCTGGGACATTTCCCCATGAACAATGTTTTTCAGGGTTTCATTCCGCTTTGTTTTGTTGCAGGTGGAAACAAAGTAATAAAGGTTTTATTTATTAGATTTATATCCCACTTTTCCTTAAAATGAACTCAAAGCAACTTACATTATTATCCTCTCAATCTTATCACCACAACAACCCTGTGAGGTAGGTTAGGCTGAGAGTCTGTGACTGGCCCAAAGTCATCCAGTCTAAGTGGGAACTACAACCCAGATCACCTGAGTCCCAGTCCTGCACTCTTAACCACCACACCATGCTGGCTCCCAGCATTATACTGTTATATAGAACAATACAGTTTTATTTGTGAGGTCAGTCATGAGGTCAAATGGCCACTCATGTGGAGGCCAGTGAAAAGATAGAAGCCTAATTCATACATAATTTCAGACAAATACAAAAGCAGAAAGATAGCTCTGGCTATTCTCAGTATTGTAGATCAGTCTGCTTTGTCTTTTTTATTACAAGGGTTTTATTTCTTTTCTCTGGTGCAGAAGCAGATTAATGATCCAGAATATTGCACCAACATGGTTGTGGAATGCAGTTACCTATACACTCATTCCTCTAAATACTGAGTCAAAAATGCCTGGAAAAACGGCAATAAAATGACTGACGAATCATTCATAGCTGACCTTTGAAAAATAACACATTCTTATTCATATTTACTCAAAAATTGGCCCCAACTGTGGTTAGTAGAGTTTCTTTCCAAATAAGCAGATACAGGCTTCCCACAAAATGTTACATATGCAAAAAAGATCAACATAAAAATCTTACATTCATCCTATATTTTATCCTGTATTTTCCTTTTTAAGAATGTCTTGAAAAGATTTAAAAATCAGTATTCTGCTTAACATTTGTTCATCTATCTTTTTTCCAGGATTAAAAAAAGACACAAAAAAGGTAAAACAGAAAAAAAACTTACAAAAAAAAAGCAACATTACTGGAACATCTCAATTAGAACACTGCAAATGTGGCCAAATCCTCCACGGCTACCCTCTGTCATTATAGTTTCTGGTATTTTTATCCCAGAGACCTCAGCTGTTGTTAAAGGAGCAAGGTCAAGCAAAAGACAATGACAGAGATGACAAGGTCCAAACAAGCACCAAGCCAGTCCAGAGGGACTGTTGATGAAGCATTTTAGACTTCATGGAAACAGCTTTAATGAAAAAGACTTTAAGCAAACATCATAAATCTGTGCCAAATGCTGGAAAAGCCCTTGCTCACCCCTCCACCAGCTCACCTTCAAAACAGAGTTCACCACCCATTGCGCCAGATCTTCCCACACTTCTGCCAGAAGTCGTAGGTTTAAGGTCTATCACTAAAATAAACTGGGAGAAAAAGAGGCCCGGCACTGTGGTGGTATCGAAACGGTCAGCTACTGGAGGCATGTCTCAGGATCAGTGGGATCGGCCAGTCATTGCACCACGAAGACCAGGCTTCAGGGTGTGCTTCATCTGTGGCAAAGAGTTTGGGTCACAGTCCCTTCCTATCCATGAGCCGCAATGCCTAGAGAAGTGGCATATTGAAAATGACAAGTTACCAAAGCATCTAAGAAGACCAGCACCTGTTAAACCTCAAGCCCTTCCTGGAGGAACATATGGTGCAATGGCTGAAAACACAGCAGCTACTCAAAGTTACCAAGCTCAGCTCCTGCCATGTCAAAACTGTGGTCGCACTTTCCTTCCAGACCGTCTCATTATACACCAGAGGAGTTGCAAAACAAAGGCTGCTCCAGGTCCTTCAAGCAACAGCTCCCCTAAATTGCTTAGATCTACAGGTTATGGCCCAGCATCTTCCGTACCAGACAAGGTAAATTAGAAGGCATCATACCTGTGAAAGAGGCCCAATTGTTTCCATGTGCAAACTCCTGGATGACATTCTGCTATCCTTGAAGTAAATGGTAAAAGCTTCGCTAGGATTTCATTTCAGAGAATAAAATTAAGTGAGTAGCCTTAAAGAAACCTCAAATACCCAGACAAGTACTCATATTCTGCACAAGTTAACGGTAGAGATGTAAACCTCATGCACATAGTAAGAGAGTTCTTTTGTAGGAAAAGTAGTAGTGGTAGCAATGTAATTAACATAAATCTCAGCATTAACACAAACCATATTAGGAATTTTTGGTTCTTCAACTGCTGTACTTAACGATGGAATGAAATTTTAGGACTAGGGACTGAAAATACAGCACTGATATAAGGAAACAGATGGAACAGATTTTGTGCTATAACTCATGTAAAAACCAGAATGAAACTAAGACCATCAGGGCTGCACTGACACATAATCCCCAGCTGAGGAAGAAGCCTTTTTCTCTGTGAAGAAGCAAAGCAGAGAGGGCCAAATCCTGCTAATAACTGCCTTAAACAGTTCATGGCAAAGCATACTGGAAGCCTCTATTCTTTCTTTCTAAACTTGAATAGGTGCACCTTTAGCCACCTTTTCAGTAGAATCCCATGTGAAAGGAGATATAGAAGACAATATGGACAACAAAACTAGAATAGAACTTTCTTCTTTGAATAATACTGTTTCATTTTAAATTTGAAAGGAACAAACATTAGGGCAAAACAAGTCCTGACTTCAGTGACTTACCAAGAAAGAGATACTGTTCTTGCATAGCTCAAAACCTAAACCAATATGAGGCTATGGGTAACTATTCAGAAAAGAATTGAAAATAAAATCACCAATATTGTAATGCCTTTATACTAATTTGTGATGTGTATGCTTCTCATTGCTGTACCAAATGCTTGAGAAGAAACTATTTTACAGCTAAATCAGAATCAATGATGCCTACATTTGTAGTGTAGATTGTAGGAGGAAGGGGGAAGCATCTGTTAGCATGCTAATATTGCTATATATTGGATTTTAATAGGACATCAATGGAGGTGAAAGGTTGGTAGGGCTAGGAACAGGTTAATAAAACCTGCAGCTGGCCTTCCTCTACAAATGGGACTAAAAGTGAATTGATAGTCCAGGCAATAATGCAGGGATCAAAGGATAACTGAGTAGAACTTGGATAGCTGCACAAAAGGCCATGGTGCGTGCACACACACACGTACTTTCATTCCCTGAACAGGACAGAAGAGATGACAGACCACAACCCTAACCCTAAATTTACTCCAAGTTCTGGCAGAAAGACATCAGCAGCTCTGAATTGGGGAACCCCTTTCTGCCTGGAAAACCAACTTCAAAAAGGCTGTTTCTAAGGATATTTATTGTGTTTCCTTCACTATTGAAGTAGAAAGACACCAGATTTGTCTTATAGTATTCCAGTACTAGAACAGATTGATTCTAACTATGTTACTAAGTTTCCCAAAGTCTAGAGCAAGCCTGCTTGCCTGTTCTGGCTTTGGTAGGCCACAGCTGCTGTTTTGTAATTCGACTAGTAAAGGAATGCATGGGCTCATCTGGATTAACCAAGCTTGGTTATATCTAAAGTAAACTGTGTAGGCTTAATTAAGATTGGATGTATAAGTCAGTGTTGAATCCTGCTCAGGACTGTGCTGTGTTAAATGAAATGTTGTAAGCAATCCTTAAACTTATTTTCTCAAAATCCAGTTCAATTGTATAAAGAAAGTAGGAGCTATTCTTCTAAAGGAAATGTTTTATCTTTCTCTCTATGTAGATCCTGACAGCAAACTTTTAATGTCTTTTCTCAATGTTTCACTTGTCAATATGTGGTGCAAACTAAATTCTGACCTTCCACTGGTGGCGTCTTTACTATCCCGTACTGCCATCTGCTGCTTTTTCCTATTGTATATCTGCTTGCAAAATAAAAAAAAAAACATATTTTAGCTTTCTGTCTTTTTTCTGTTGCTGCACAGAACTAAAGTTTAAAATTTTGTTCTGCTTTTGTATCATTAGGAACTGAACCACTCACTGGAGTCATGCTTTCCTAGTGAAACTCTAAAATAAGCTATGTGCCTTCTATCCTGAAATCTGTATCTGAATTCCAGCCTTATTGCATTGTTAAAACCTGTGGTCACAAGAAGCTTAGTGGTTTTGCACTGATTCCATCAAATGTGGCCCTGATAGTAAAATCAAGGTTTAGGGAGTGCTTAGCATGGTTAAAGTGAATTCTGTTCATGCCTCAATTTTAAATAAAGGTGAGGGAACTGGGATAGAAGATGTATCTACTAACAACAGCAACAAAAATTCATAACGCATGCTAACAAATTTTATCACATCATATAAACAAAGCAAATTGTAGGTTTGGTAGCACTATATTAGGGTTAATATGGGATAGGGGGTTGGCGAATACTTACTAGTAACAAGCAACAGATAGCACACAACCATAAACTAGGTCTTGACAATTTAGTAAAACTAGAAGGCCAAGTTATGTAACTAGTTTTCCTTGGCACAATTGATTATAAATAGAGCAATTGATGTAGCATTCCTAAGTATTTATAACAGATGATGGAGTCTAGTAATTGCCCAGTAAGCAGTAATCTAAGCTGGAAAATTATTTGAACTTGCAGTTTGGAATTTTCCAGCATAATTTAATTTATAACTGCCATCCTCCTTAAAGTGGCAGACATAGTGAGTTACGTTAAATAAAAGGATCTGAAAACAGCCCATGTTAGAGATTTAATTTTAACAATTGTTTTAACCAAAGAAAGTGGGGGGGGGGAATCTAAGCAACTAAAGCTGGGAGAAATAAATTAGCTAATGAATTGTAGGATGATAATAGCTATGGCCAAGCAAAGACATTTTGCTCTTAGTGGCAAAGAACAAAATGTCACCTGAGATGTTTAAGAGATTTGTTAGAGTTTGGTGAGGGGGGGGGTGCGTTTTACCAGAATTTACTCACAGTTTTTATCTTCTGGGTCTGAAAATGGACCCAAACACAATCTACAGGCAATGTCTATACATTTCCAAGCTTGCAATATGGTTTGCAAAACAAAACAAAAATGTGATTGATTTTTTAAATACAAATAGCCAGTGGTGGGTTATGTATGGATCATCTATAACTCAGTAAAACCTGATCTTGAGTCACTGCAGAAGTCTGTGAATTACCTTAAACATCCAATGATAATTTCATGCAACAATCTGAGAAAAAAATTGCTCATCTGGAATCTTGGAAAATTAGCCCTGGTAACAGGCATGAACTGTGGCCAAGAATTAGTTGCCTCTGTATCCATATCTTGCAGGCATTAAAAGCTATTACAATGCATTTTTGAACCTGCATTTTGCCAGCAGGTTTCCTTTCAACCAGAACACCTCCCCTCACCACCTACTGCAATTTAAATTATATCCTGAAATCAATTACCTTTTAACTGCACTTGTTGTCCACAGCCTTCAGTGATAAGGCGGCCTCCAGCCGTTATTTGCTACATTTGTGGCCGTGAGTATGGAACACATTCAATAGGCATCCATGAACCACAGTGTCTGAAAAAATGGCATATTGAGAATGATCAATTGCCCAAACATTTACGAAGACCGGAACCGATAAAGCCAGTGGTTACACCTGTTGGAGGTAAGATACAGTCTAAAGGGATCACTATACAGGCAGAGGGTTTGGGGAGGCATATTGTTAATGTTGTATATAGTTTTGACTTTAAGTGATTATGTAACTTTTAAAAAGATTTCTCTTGCCTCATTTGGCAAAATTTAGTGGCATTTGTAATTCTTAAGACTGTTATTCAGATATAGACTGTGTTATTCAGGCATGAACCCTCTAGCAATAAACTTAATGACAATGGAATCTAGCAGTTCAATCTATGCACAGTCTTCCTGTACAAGCTTTGCACTGGAAAGAGGTTGATAATTTCTCCTCTGAAATCTAGGGTCTACACTAGATCAATATATGCTACGCAAAGATGTGGCTAAGCATCAATGCAGGAATGAGCTGTAAAGATGACCTTTCACTCAATAGAAGTAGCAGTGCCATTCTGGAGAGCTAAGTGAATTGCTTTCTTCATTCCTGGTTGTATCTCCTGTTCTATCTAAATATCTGGAGCTTTTTGACAGGAAGCATTTATCATGCCCTAAAATTTCTGTATTCATGGTTGTTTACGGTTTCTTTAGACAACATCATCACTCCCCAGTATCACTTCGGTGTCCGACCAGCACTTTCAGCAAATATATGGTTAGATCGCAGGAAAATGTGACATTTAATTGTAAAAACAAAAGAATGTATCATCTCCATTTGTGTATGTATGCTATTCTGCTGTGCCACAGTGCCATCTTGAGGTCATATAGTAGAACATCAAGAAAGGAAATCATGTGGTGCTCAGATCTCAATTCTGCTCGGAAACCAAAAGTAGATGCAGCAGACTCAAACAACTAACAGCACAGAAGCTCTAGATGTTACGAGCTCTTTATACAGATCAGGGAACCCTGGAACAACATTGGCATGATTGGGAATGATTGTACAGCCTCTGTATTGTCCATATTGTTCCAATATCATTATACTGAGAATTGGCCAGAAGTTCTGCAATATGCTTTCCTACAAATACATACAGGACCGACTACACATTACACCAATCACTTAGCATGCAGTTGAAGGCTGTCCTGTTATTCCTGTTCGGCCTGGTTTGGACTGGGGCAAGATTGCTCCAAGAGAGTACAATTAGACCTTCTACCACAATTTGTTTCTCAAAACCCAGCCGCCTGGGAGAGGGGGGTGTCAAAAGAGTAGGAGAGAAGTCTTGTATCAGTGGGGACATTCTGTCATTTTTAACACCCAACATGGGAAGGGGTAATTTTAAAAATAGGGAGAAGGTTTAACTCTCCTCTCGCAAAGCATGGTGGTCCCACATTGAAAGCAAGCCCTAGATTTTTATTTATTTATTTATTTGTTTATTTAAAAGGCAAACTCCAGCTGCACACCACATGGTTAGCGTAATCTGGCATTTGACTCCCAAAGGCTGCTTCAACCACAATAGGAATGCAACATTAAAATGAAGCCATGGCAGGCAAAATAAAAATACATTTTCTAAAAAGAAAGTATATCAGTTTTACACAAGTACAATTATGGACCTGAAAGTAAGTCATGAGAACTGTGACGGCTTTGAAAACGTTAGAGAACTAGGAAACAAATGGCTGGTCAGATTTTGCAGATGTTTTTAGTGATCCTGGAAGTGCATTCCACATTAATGGAATCCTACTGCCAGTCTGCAAAGATCCACATACAGCCCAGTTGCTGTTTTAAAATATGTTGCCTCTCCGCCTGCTGTGACATGTGACACACTGAGCACTACTAAGCTCTTCAGGTTATAATTAAATGATATCATTAAATGGGGGAGAGGCATGCATTAACAGAGCATACAGATCAATGTCTTACACTATCAGGGAAAAATCCCCTAAATGAAAAGTTTGAAAGCATAGACCATGGTGCAGGTAATTTTCTCTTCCACCCTTTCTGCATGAACTGCAGCTGCGTGTAACATTACTCTGATGGTTACTTCTCTGTGGCACTGTGCTAGCCCTTGGGGTGCTCCTTGCCACAGAGGAGAAAGGAGGGAGGGAAGAAGCGTGCGTCTTCTCCTCTAGTTGCACCCCCATGAAGCTTTGGCTTCCCATGGATTATACCTTCATGGTGTATTCTGAACTGGAAACTCAGAAGTCTACCTGATGAAAAAAGAAGTTAAGAAAAAGTTTCAGAGGGAAAGTAACTGGCAAGAGAAATGTTAAGCTCCCTCTCAAATTCACTTCTCCACTCCCAAAGGTATTTTTCAACACAAAATGGCCTAATATGACTGCAGTGTAATGTGTAGTTTGGCCGTGAACATTCTGAAGTATACAGAATACACATTCATTTCCTGCACATGGAAAAAAACTCTTGCTTTAGCCAAAAAAGGAACACAGTTGGTTGCTCATCGAGTGAAAGGGAATATTAGGAACAGACGCATTAGGAGATCTAAGGCTTACTTTTATACGAAGCATTGAATATGAATCACGTTACAACTGCATGGCTCCTTACGGAAAGACCTATATATTTGCCTGTTACATAAACAATGGACTTTTTAAAATGCACTAGTTTCAAACAAGTTTGGACTCAATATCTGAACACACAATCTAGGTTAATGCAGTAAAAATTACTGGCTAAAATACCATACCTTTTGGCAAAAGAGAACCACTTGCTGTTTCAAATCAAACTGTATAGTTTTCTCACGATACATAGAAAACTACATATGCTTGTGAAGCATAAATGTCATTGGTATGGGCTTATACAGTTGCTAAATAACCTCAGCTAAAGGTAGCTCTGTCAAAAGGAAAAGGATTTAAAGCTCATTTTAAGGCAAGAGAGACGAGAGAGAAAGCAACAATACCAATTATGCTATTTAAAATGCTTTCCAGCTGCCTCAGTCTCTAGGCTTAATTGCAGATAAAACTCTTGCTGAAATAGCTGGGGGAGAATATGAAAATGGACTTAAACTGAGGTTGGCTGATTTTGCCTGCTGGGTCTTTGACTTAACCCTGCTGTAAGTCATACTGAAAGCATTTATAAAACACACACGCACGCACACAAAACCTAAATTAGAACAGAATTGGATCTTTTAGCCCAAGAACAGCAGAGTGGGGGGGGGGGATGAAGAGGTGGAGACATAGTGAAGAACAGAACATGGCATGCTTTTTCTTCCTTCCCTTTGGTCAAATAAGATTGGCTCATTAAACAGGTTTCATAAGAAGGCCAAGTGGTGAAACTGACTGATACTGAAGTGTAGGCAAATATGTTAATAATTAGCAAAGAATGTGTAACATAGCACATGCAGAAATGCTTTCTCCATGCATAGAAGATGATTCAGTTTGTAGTTAACTTTATTTGACCCCTGAGACAATAAGCAGAGTTTGGGTGCATGGGGGTTCCCTCTCTCATTAGGACTATGAAAAACTGAAAGACTCAGACAACAGGTATTTCCTGAAAATATTTTCCGTAAAAACTGAATATGGTTCTCCAGAAAGAAAACTGATATTTTTTCTCCCTTTTTTAAATTTTCCAGGCAAGGGCTACTATGATCTTGATGCTTTAAATGAGTCTGCCTGGCAAAGTGCCCAGAGCCAGTTAGTCCCATGCAATATTTGTGGTCGCACCTTCTTGCCAGACAGACTGATCGTCCACCAGCGGTCCTGCAAACCGAAGACACCAAAATAAAATGCTTCTCCTTCCAAGACAAGTTTTGAAGAGCAGCATTCCTCTGTGACCTATAGGATAGATAGAGGTCTCAGCACTGAAGAATCATCGCACTATACAAAATCAAGTTCCAAACGTGTTTGATGTAAAATTAACTAAATGTTGATTATGTAGGTGAATTATGGGGCATGTCGCTTTCGCCAGTGTTTTGCTGCAATTGTATATTAACCATATGGTGGTCCATAAGAACTAAAGTATCTTCAGGAGACTTCAGAATAGACTGTGACCTTATGACTGCCTTGTAAATACCCTTGTTTCACAACAGCAGGCTCTGTTAAGAAGTGGTCATGCCTGTTCAGATCCCAGGAATCACGTGCAAGAACACTTATTTTTACTGATGTAGTTTCCATTAAAAGGTTCTGTCTGCAGTAACGTAAAGACAGTAAAAACTTCAGTAGCCTTCAAAAGTGGACATTTTGTGTGTTTGGAAGATAATCTCAGATCTTGTTTCTCAGATATTCAGCCTTAGATTTTAATTGTTACAGGTATCCAGCCCAGTAATCAACGTTTTCTCCAAAATCTAAATGTTTTAGGGTGAAGGGCCGGTTCCTCCAACCCTCAGACCCTGAGCTCAGACTTGAATTTCTGACTTTAGGCTCTAATTTTACAGTTAAAATTTAGGCTCCAATTTTCATGATATTGAGAAATGTGGCACTGGATTACCTTTCTCCCAAAGAACTGTAGGTCCTTCCCTACCTACTAAATTTTTTGAACTGACTTTGTACCACCTTATATTCTCCATTTTTCTCATGGCTTTTCTATACCCCATGGACCATTTTATCACTTCTGACCCCAAATCTATGAGAACATCCAAATCCTAGGCGGTTGTTAGCATTCCTATTCTGACTCTCTACAACCCAGAATGTTTCCCTCTATCCTCAAAATTCTGCAGCACATTCTCTTTTAGACATGTAGGCTGGCAGCATGTACTCCTCTATTTTGGCAGCCTCCTTTACCAAAGGGCTGCCCCATTGAGGTCCAATATGAAGATAAAGAACCATCAGAAGGTGAAGTTGTCCATCAACAATACTAGGATAGCAAAACGAGCAAGGCACACAGGTAACATGATCACTTTTCCATCCTATGATGAGATATACTCTATTTTTATGGAAAGTCTAATAACTATTTCCAGATTTGCATCTGTACATATAAATGTGCATACGAACATTTCATGAAAAAATGGTGCTCTGTTTTTTGGTGATGTATCTCCACTTTTTTTGGCACCCCAAACTATGAAAGCAATAATGACATAATACTTTCCTTGAGTGTGTGAAGTACTTAGCATATATTATCCCAGTAGTTAACAAGCCAGCACTACATAGAAGAATCAGAAGATGACTTGCTTATGACTAAAATACAGTATATTCTAGAGGAACTGATATCTGAACTGGAGACATCTGGCTCATAGGCCCAGTTCCCATATATAGCAGAGACCTATTTGCACAGTTCTTTTTGCGCAATTGCAATTTAGGATAGATATGCTTGCTATCCCAGGTCACTTCATTACATCCCCATTACCTGTTCCCACTGCCCTCCACAAATTGGGTACAAGGTTTATAGGGGGCTGCTCTACATGTGTAGACTCCTAGACAACCTAGAATCCTAAACATTTAGAACAGCATTCTAAATCAGAGAGGTCCAGGTTTGTCCTCACCCAGAGATTTTCAGGCCTAATCACTCATACAGCTTTTTAATGAAAAGCAGAATGGGTTCTTCCAGATAAATCACATGGCCAGTTTCTACTAGGCCATCTTCTGCCTTATCTCTTTAAGAGAGAGAACAAAATACTGCTTTTTTGTGACTAGGTCATAGGTCATGCTTTTCACAGCTATATTACATCAACTCTCTAGTTTTCACAAGGGTATTGGAGAGGTTTGAAGCAGGGAATAAGTTCCTTGTTTGTTTGTAGCTTTTATAAACCCTGATGTTGGGTACCCTGATGCTAATGCCTAGTACTCATGGCACCAAGTGTACCTTAAAAGCTTCCCAATTCAAATTGAGAATATATTCTCTCATATTTCATATTCTGAAAAACGCTGCTGCAAATTCACACCAGGCTGTATGCCAGGCACATCCCAATTTGAAAGAATTACGGCTTCTGATAGTGTACTCCATACATTTAGAATCTTGTTTCCAGGTATGAAAGGAATCTTAGAATGCATTTTGTTGAAAGCACATTCCTAATCTATACTCTGGAAAAGACTGGCAGTGATAGCCTACAGAATGTTGTATATGTGGTACTGTAGTAACCTGAGAAGGCAAGGTGTTTTCAGCTTTCTTGTGATGTGCAATGCACTGTTTCCTGTTTTCGGTTTTCATTTTTGCATGCTCCTCAAATCGCCTTGTTCCTCCCTGTTCTTTGATGCCTGGAGGTCTGTTAGGTGTGCACGTTCTGCCAAACTTCAGCAGCATGCGCAAGAGGCTGACCGTTTTGGCTGGACTGGCAGCGCAGATCCTGAGCATGAGATGTGTGCAGGGGAGTTGGCCTAACCCAGCAGGGCAGACAGCTCAGATTCTAATAATGAGATGATTGTTGAAACAGACCCAGCTGCTGTCCATGTCCTAGGTTCCTGCTATGGGACAGCCTAGTTCAAAGGCAGCTGTGGGGCCCAGTCAGCCCATCCATGGGAATGGGAAAGAGCAGCAACATCCTGGGGGTCGGGGGATAGAGATGGGGAGTATATTGGATGGGGAACTCCATCCTCCTGAGGAGGTGGACCTAGTAGTCTGTCGTCACAGTCGTAGGGTGACCCAGTTGGGATCCCAGAGGAAGAAGCAAAGGCATGCCTGGTTCCACAGTGCTCCTCCTCCCAGGGGCAGGCACAGAAGGATTCATAAGCAAAGCTTTGGGTGAAGAAACCCAGAGAGGGTTCAACATTTTGCTTTGTATATGCTCAGAAACTTAAATGTAAAATAAAGAAGTTTAGCAAACTAGCACTGGTGAGCTGGTTACTGCTGGGAGGGGGGAACTCAGTTCATAACAGTGTCTGACGAAAGGAAAATACCTTATTTGAACTAGATATCTAGATCAAGGTTGCCTCAATTTTAGGTGACCAAATCCAGCTAGAGGTCATTTCAACTTGTAAAAAGCTGTTAGAAAAGAAAAACTTGGCCAGCAAAAGCAAAGATTTAACAGCTATATTTATTTGGAGCTCAGAATTTGACTATTTTGATTCCAAGAACACACCAGCCTTGACAACAGGACTGTGCAATGTCCATTAGGATAACCCTAAAGTGCTAATAAAAGTGTTGCATTCAGTGGAGGCAGATGCTGGACCAAATCGTCCCTCTCTCCTCTAGTCCACCACACAAACCCGTCTGTTTGGAGAATGGGAGATCGCTCTGAGCAAATCTGGAGGCTTTCAGCAGCCGAGGGAGGATGAGAAAAGGAACGCTAGCCATACAGGTGAAATGTTGGATGTAGTCCATATGTGTGTTATAAAGGAAGGATTGGACTTCCACTTCTAATTAACATTATAAATAACCACTGTTTCTGAATTTGGAGCAGCTGAAATCCACCACATGTCAATGGAAGGGTTAAAGGGATGAAGGAAGTGTGGTTTAAATGACCATGGGCAGGAGAACAGAAAATACATTTTCTATATATCTATAGAAAGTTTTTTTATTAAGTGGCTGGGGAAGTTCCACGGAAATATGTGCTGAAATCCAATCTGTATTGTTAAACAATAGTATGAACTGTTTGAACTGCAGGAAGGAACAGAATCTTGCCTGAGTTTTCACCCTAATGTCAAGAAGTTGGCTTTGCGTATTTTATGACAAATTTGACTATTCTGAGAAGAGTGTCAGCAGCACCTGTGCTTCCAGATTAATTGTGCCTCAGGTCTTTGTACAATGTGAAATGAGATGGGATTCAACTGTTTCACTTTGCCCAGTGATCATGTTTCACAGTTTGCCTTGTAATGAGAACAAGAAATAGTATCACAGATTCTTAAATGGGGGAAACATTCAAAATGCCCAGATGCAGAAGGAAGTTCATTCAAAATCCTCTTGATATCCATATTTTTTGAGGAACATGCTTTTTAGATCAATCAGTGGCACTTCAATAGCTCCTTTAATCCACACGAAGAGGAAACTTGTTCCACTTATTAAGTCAACAGGTCAGAACTACTACTTCTGTACTGCCTACACCCAAACGAAATGCTTTGATCATCATGACTTCACAGAAGAAACTTCAACCCGCAACGGTTAGCTCCTCAAGGACTAAATGTTGGACATGACGGAGAAGGGAACCAAACCTCCAATGGTCTCATGTTCCCTGCCTAATGGTACAACTAGGACCAACCCTGAAGCTGGACTGCAGAGCCCTTCAGCCGGCTGCCCATCCCCCTGGACCACACAGAGAGCAGCACGGGATGGGCTGGTGCAAACCAACCCTGGCTGCCATCGGTGTGCTCTGGGGTCTCATTTTGTACAGGACAGATCTCCATCTGAAGGGCTGCCTGGCCACCTGATTTAGACTGGACAGGGGACACCTGGCCGCAGCCTTCCCCACTATAGTGTGATGTATGGTATTTCTGCATAAATTACAGTAAGGGTTTCTAAATGTACAGCTACAGGCAAAACTCAGTGTGTGCAATTTTTAAAGAAATCTGGGTTCTCTTTCATCCTGGCTTGCTTTTACTCTGCTTTCTGTTTGTTTTTGATGATGCATCTCCTTTCTTTTGGCAGGTGATCAGCCTCGCAGATATGGAAATGCTGAGGTCTACTGGCACTGGTGCACTTCCAGTCACCAGTGGGGTGGTTGGCCAGGCATGTACGTGGTCACACTTTAAAAAAATACTTTAAAAATATGTGTTAGCCTTTCCTACAACAATACAGTGCTTCTTCCCAAGTAAATGTGTTCAGGACCAGGGCGATAGAAGCAAGCCCTATTTTATTCCTGTAGACATGGATGGTGCCCTGAATAAGTGAGTTTAAAATGTGAAATTGCATGTATTCATGATATTTTCCTTTTCTTTCTTCCTATCAGGGTTGACAAACAGGCATTTTTGTTTCACTTTGCTTTGTGTGCTAAGATAGCAGAAATGTAGATACAGTTGTAAAATACAGAACTGTGAGTGGTG